ACAGGCGGGACGGACGAGGACGTCAAAGTCAGAATCGGAAAAGCAAGACAGGCATTCATTAGCCTGAAACCAGTGTGGAGATCTTCTGCACTCAGCATGCGGAACAAGATACGGATTTTCAACACCAACGTCAAGTCAGTGCTCTTGTATGGCTCAGAGACTTGGCGCGTCACGAAAGGTATTTCCAATAAACTACAGACATTCATCAACAACTGCTTACGCTCGCTGCTGAAGATCAGATGGCCAGAAAAAATAAGCAACAAGGAACTCTGGGAACGAACCAACCAAGAACCTATCACGCAACAAATATGCAGGAAGAAGTGGAGATGGATTGGCCATGCACTGAGAAGGCCGACTGAGGACATCACGCGTCAGGCCCTCGAGTGGAATCCCCATGGGAAGCGACGAGTTGGACGTCCAAGGGTGACATGGAGGAGGTCGTGCGAGCAGGAAATGAGAGCTTCTGGGCTGTCGTGGGACCAGGTTCAAAAGATCTCAGAGAACAGAGGTCACTGGAGGCGTGCTACTGAAGCCCTATGTTCCACTAGGAACCCAAGGGACTAATAATAATAAATAATAATAATACGTAATCGATTAATAACACGGTTTTCGTAATCACTTTATTAAGTAGTACACTAGATTGTAACAAGCTTCCTGTCTACTCTCATTTAAAAGGCTGTTTACTTCATGTGTCTTCTTCATTCAAACTGTCTTCAAAACAAACCAGAATCCGTAAAATAAATTAGAATATTCCTTGTATATAGAAATTATTCCTTGTATAGGTGTATAGGCTGTACATGTGAATATTAATCACTAGGTGGTAGCTTTAATACTTGACAGCATTATAGTTATACTTTTGTAGTATTCAAATAAACACAACTGATTTATATTCAGAACATTTATGAATTCCGCCGTCAGTGGATACAGACGATTTCTAAACAGTTCAGTGTTTCTGGCTTTTGATAACTTCGTGTACTCCTTAAAATAGTGTGGATAGAGATTTCTGTGTAGACAGTTCAAACAAAACAAAAAGTATGTAGAAAACAAGATTCATGGTGATCACTTTTGTAGGCAGATAAATTACTTCCCATCGTATACATATGATTGATGTATTTGGCCATTGAACGTGCAACATACGATTAATACTTGACTTGTAGGGAGTTCGGCGGATGTGGGTACTGTTCTACAAGTAAGTGTTGGGAAAAACTCCTGATAGTCAGGTTGTGGAAGAAAAGTCTCTCCATTGATTGCAAAATAGATAAGACACTTTTTGAAAAGGTTCGTGAAGCAAATGATAAAACTGATGACTTAATAGTATGTATAAGTAACTGATAGCTGTGAAGACAAGAGAATATGTGAGTAATCTGAAGATTGTTTTTCACTAACTATTTCAGCTTACAATATTCTTCTTTCTGTAACAACAACCCCCATTCCTGAATGGATAACTTCTAATGGAAGCCACATGCAAACTCCACTTAAAGTTTAAAGAAAACCGTTTATAAATGATGCACAATTATTTTGTTTTATCTAGTAGGCATCTTATCTTCAAGCCATAGGTTACGAGTTAGTTTTGCTATATACCAGACAGATTGTTTAGAGTCATAAGTTTCCTGTTAAGCATAAATAGCCAGCTTTCAAGTTACATTAACGTGTTCTAATAAGAATTAGTTCCACTTATTCCAGAAATCGTTGAGTCTAGTCAAATATTGACAACTTTGAAACGTATTTTCATATTCTACAGTATTGCATATAGTCAAATTATAAATCCACGCACTTATAGAATATTCCATTGAGGCTTCCTAGAAAGACAGCATAGCTGCTGCAGTGAGTTTGCAGAAAGTAGTGTGTGACTAAAAAGTTGGTGTAATGCTTCATAGTATTGAATCGTCAGACATCAGATTATCGTTCACAAACGGTGTATAGCTTTTATGCACAACGTGTCATAACAGCTAATGCTTACACTTATCTTTCATTTGAGTATCTCGTTATTCATTGGACTTCAGGCAACGCATTTTATATACATTAGACCCCAGTGAATCCTTTTCATCTTGACTTATATGATGCTGGAAAAAAGGTGCGTCTGAGGAAGATGTTTGCGAAACACTGAATTATTTTTAAGTTTAAAACATTGAAGTATTTTTCTTTTAGTGTTTCTTTTATCGGTTCAAAGTAGCGTGTATGTACAGAAACACTTAAATTAGAATTGTAATAAGGAATTAAGTTGAAAAATGAATAAACCTTGCAATAAATCTGAAGCTGTTATTTTCTATGTGCTCATGATAATGTTTTTAAGTATAAAATAGTTAGGTTGCTCTATTGAATTATGCTGGAAAATAATAACTGAGTAAGATGTATTTTCTCTTTGCATTGAAGTTTTCTTAATTTAATTCATTTGTCTATCCTTGTCTCATTATTAACTCTTGAGCAAATTTCTTAACCAGTTGACAAGGTGCAGAATAAATATTAAAAAAGGCATTAAGCAACCGATTTCATATTTATAATATTTTGTGAATTAGGACTCAGAAATGAATAAATCATAAAAAGTTCTTCCTTTACCTCATTGTTGTTCGATGATTTCAATGAATATCTGATGTATATTAGTTAAATCTGAAAAATAAGTTAAACAGATAGTAATCTTGATCTGCTGACAACCACTGGTCAGTTAGCCAACGTCATAAACTTCAGAAACGTATTTATTAGGCTAAATATGCTAGAATTTGCTTGTATATAATAAAATAAAAAACAGTTTTGTGAATTTCAACTGATAAGTTTTCAGCCTTATGTAGGGTTGCTTTTGGTGTTTGAAAAACAAATATATAATCATTGGGAATAGATATTGGCTAGGAGGGCAATCCACGATGGACGTTTAGTCCCATTCAGGACTCATCAGCCAGGTGTAACTGTGTCCTAGTGGTGGTGTCTTGGTCGAGATTGGGACCGAGAACCCATCTCTTCAAACCCAGAGGGTATGCACTAGGGTACTTATTTATGGTATCTACTCCCTGTGCAGCGGTATAGTTTGAGATTGAAGCTTGTTATTTCCCATCTTTGACTGATGAAAAAATTGACAATGTGGAATAAAAGCTCCAATATACCCATGGTCCTTTCGAAACCATCGGGGCGGAACAAACATTGGGTGGATATTGGCTACTAGTAGGATTTTAGAGTGAAATTTTACTGTGAAGTTCGCGGATAGTACATTTGTGGTTATATTCATTATCCGTTATACGTTTTATGTAATAAAGTATGTTACACACTAAATTTACTGAAAAATACTTTGTACTGGAAATGAATAGTATAATACCTTCTGATTAAAAATGGATTTAGTTCTTCCATGCAAACTGAAACACAACTGTCAGATAACTTTGTTATCGTGGAATTCACCGTGTACGTGATGACCTAAACATTTGGCTTAAAATTAAAAGGATTTCTACACTTCTCTTCAAATTAAACCTCATCCATTTTATAAGTTATGTTTGAAACTGGAAAGATTTGACTCCATTCCATATTTAGCATAAGGTGCTAATTGACTCATTTACCTTCAGAGTGACGAATAAGTGCTTCTTTCGTAGACTGTTTACACCAACAAGTATTCCATTGTCATGTTTGTACAGAAAACGTACAAGAATTTAGCTGTCAAACCCTGGTGAAGTGAATTATTTGTGCTAATTCGAGAGAGAAATGATAGCTTATGATTTGAAGTTAAAAGTAACAAAAGAAATTTGAGTGCCACTTTAGAATAAAACTAGATTTTTCAAATTATTCACAATTATTCACCAAAATGCCAGAAAAGTTCTTGTTTTTCACTCATGTTTAGTGAACAAACAAAGTAAACATTCACACCCTGCCAACATTGTCGACATCATACTTCTAGACTCTTCTTGGTGGGAAGCAAAGTAATTGGCTTCATATTCCACATTATTGGATATGACAATATATTTTACCGTCAACTGCAAACCTCCAATGTCCTTTCACTAAAAAAAATTATATTAATGGGAACACAGTCATATGTACAATTCTTCCTTTGTAGATTTAAAAATATGCTTTACATTACTTTCAATCAGTAGTTTGTTTCTGCCAACCGTGGATAATAACTATTTTTCAATGAAAAGGCTGGTGTACATTCTCACAAAAATCCAAAGTGATTTACTTGGAAAAGCTTTGTGTGGTACAAAATATGCCTCACTTTCCTCTAGTTGTAAAGACTAACAGTTTAAATTTGACCACGGTACAGCGTTGCTATTAAAATATGTTCATATGCCTGCTAATCATGTTAGCCTATCCATGGAGAATTTGTCAGTTATCAGGTCTATGCAGTTAGAACTAGTCAGTATATTCAATTTGTATTTATTTATGTCCTAATGACAGACTCAATATTAGTCGCTGAGCAGTTGTATGAACCTACAACTGGAGAATCTGATGACTGTATTGCCAAGACCTGCCTTTTCTGTCATGGAACAAATTCGAACCAAATGATTCTGAAGGAAAAAATGTGTCACTGTTATATGTACTGTATGTGTATCAGTCTCAGCGTATTTGAAATAACTTTTCATTTTCTTTTTATCCTGGAAAAGCTTTCATTGAGTGTCTCATTCGGCTTTATTTTTTACTTGTTGATTCATTTATAATGTGATTATCATTCAGGCTTTCCGGTGACCGATAAGATCCTATAATCATCTAAGGCTGTACTGAGATATTATATGGAAGTGTGGTGAAACACTAGCTAAAACGTTTTATTATTTTTCATCATTAAGTTTTATTTAGCGATATAACTATTATCGTATTAGATTGGTTGGTAATGCACATCAACCTTGACATATGATTGGTCAACTAAAGTTTGAGTCAAGTAAAAAGCTATAAGAGTATAATCAAACTATGTTGAAATACGTAAATACTATTTAGTCACATTAACTGATTGCCTTTAATAATCTGTGAGGCGTTTTGTTTTGAAATTCTTTGACAGATTTTTTATTTACTAATCAATTATATAAAACGCAGCAATGTCACAAAAAGGATCATCATCAAATGCTTCCATTCATCGAAGTCTACATAGTGATGAACAGTGCAAAAATCGTTACTACCTACATCATCATGGACCTGGTCATCATCATGGTCGTTCATTAAGTTCATTTAAACAACACATGTCTAGCAGTACATTGGGACACTTTATGCACAATACAAGTCAAAAAACCTTGAGTAATAGCCATAAGTCAACTCATCAATTTAAATTCTCTAGCGCCGGCAGCTTGATAACTGGTCGTTCAAGTTTAGGAAAAGAATCCATTCACAAGTCTGATGGTGATGAGACAGTTTTTGAAGTACTTCTTAAGGGACATGTATTTGTACGTGCAACTTGTTCAAGACTTCGTGAGTGTGTGAATTTTGCCAACATTCAGTTCATGGGCACTCTTATTTGTATTGTCGAAACTGTCCAGTAGTGATACATAATAAGGATCTTTGTCAAGAACAACTTACCAGAGTTTGCCCTGCTCTGGAACTCGGAATTATTGGTTGGGGTGAAGGTAAAATTTATTATTTATTCAAATCAGTTCATTCTAAGTACTGTTATTATAAATAATACAGCTGATTTGTTATTTTTGTGTTTGGAATGTATGCGGCGTTATTGTACCACTTTATAAAAATGATGAAAGTCCTTAAATGTTTTGAATAATATTTCCTCTCATACTCTCGAAACGTAGGTTTTAGCTGTTTACATGGAGTCTTTCTTTCAGATTCCAGTTTCCCAGTACTTCAGTCAGGATTCTTAACATTTATGGTTTTCCAAAAAACAAGTTGATTTGACTAAGTTTCCTAATCGGAATGAACAGATTCAGGAAGCAGTTTTCATTATCATCCTCTGGTCAGCGCGTTTTTTCTATACATAATTCGAAATAGTAAGAGAGAAAAGGATATGAATCTGTGATTTTAGCATTCATGAATGTGGACACCATATGTCTAAAAATAGCCATCCAACATTCCTCAGTGGTTAGCTTGTTGCTTTAAACCAACCATTTTTGACAACAAGGGGTTCTTTCAGGTTACGTCTCCACAAAGCGTGAAAATCCCTCAACCTTTATGTTTTGAGGTGGCAGAAAAATCAGTATCAATGCAGATCCATCCTATCATTTGACTACTGTGCCCACTGCTAACCATCACTATCTGTCTCTACAAATATGTCAAAAGATCTCATAAATCCGAATCCCTTCCATTGTTTGATTCGAAAACAAAACCTCTAACACCTAAAATTCAAGATTAAATGTTTAAGTAAAAGTGTATTATGTTGTTGTTCGATATATGTGATTTTTTGTTACGATACAGGGTAGAATTACTGGATTCTGTTAGTAGATATGTTCCTATAAGTATGCCTCGATGCTGCAGAATATTCATGGTGTTATATCCATCCTGGAGAACAGCAGTGGAATCCAGAGGAGAGGTCAAACGTTTTGACCCTCAACAAACAACTGACAAACGTCCTAAAAGAGGTAACTGTCGTGCCTAAGTTGCCGAGTGGAAAATGCTCCAGCGTTTGAAGCAATGTGTACTGGGTTCGATTCTCGCTTGGGACAACATCACTCATCAGAGTGCATGTACATCCAGCTGACGAGTCCAAAACCGGACAACACCTGCTTCCTGGATTCCATTATTAGTCACTAAAATGAATATAAAAATCGATCGTTTTCATTAAATATGATACGCCTCAAAAGGATCTAGTTGTTCTGTTTTAACTACGAGAACAACAGTAATGTAAATCTTGTTCTTTGTATATGAAAATAAATCACTTTTGGTTTCGTTTGGCTAACATTTGACTCAGGGGAAAATGTCATTACATGGCTTAGAATAATTGATTTGTTTCTCTATTATAATCATATTTGAGTCATTGGAATCTAAAATCACAGTGGATGATAGTATACTTCAGATATTATTTCTTAGTCTGCTTACACTGACAACATGTGAAGGATAAGCAATGGCTTCGTTTACTTACTTAAACGCACTCCAAATGACTCAAGCCTAAATGAGTGCATGACATTGTAAGAAGAATAATGTCAGCAGACTACGCCCTCTTGGCTAACTTTCGCAGCTAAAGACATTTATTGAATTTAACATCAGATGATGAATTTGTTATTCATTTATTTTTAATGAGGTCAATCACTAGTTATTAAATGTAGACAGCAAGTAGTTTCTTGAAAATATTTTTCCAATAAACAAATAAAGAACAAAGTTTATATGGTGTGCAAACAGCCATAAAGACCCAGTTTGTCACATAATTAAAATACAGAAAAGTAGTATGAATAATTGTCTGTGTTTTACTGGCATATATCAGAAGAAAGAGGGAGATTAAACCCATAGATTCAGTGAGAATCGTAATCAGTTCATGTATTCAGTGAACTTATGGGTTTAATCAATTTTTCCCCTCTAACCACTTAAGCTTGTTTCCTGATGGGCATTCACTTTTGTGCAACTAATAATTGCTTATGGTCTGTTGCCGAATGTATATGGAGGCGGTTCGTTAGCAAGCATCTAACCTTTAGTTCAAAACTAAAGGCAAAATTTTAATTTTATTACTTTTCTCTGTAAAATATTTATATTCTGAACTTGTTGACAATGCCATAATAGTTGAAGCAATCAAGATCAGTTTATGGTATTACATAATTTTTCATTTGATACTGGTCCATCTAACTTCCAAAGAGTGGAGTTATAACTCATTGGTTTAGGCAGTTGACTTTCAACCATTGGGTTACGGACTCAGCCACAACTCCACCTACAGAGGTTTGAGCAGCCAGACAGTACAGTTAACTATCATAAAATAGGTGAGGTTTATTGGCTACTGTAAGAATATGAACACGGCTTCTGAATGTATTTCCACGTCGACTTCGATCTCCAGATATGTTTTTACTTTTTAACAAGGTATACATTCGGAAGAAGTTTCCATCCGATGTTTCTTTTAAGTCATATATCTGATCAGTCGGAGTGTACTTGTAGGATATCACTGATTATGAGAAGGCTTTAAATGTCAATAAATCACAATTTTGTTAAACAAGTGGTAAATTTAAATCAGTCTGTTATATTTATCCAATGTGCATGCTATTCAAACTGAATCGGTATTGTTTACTTGAAGTTGTCTGTAAGCTTCTTATCAGGATATTATCGTTTCAATCAACATGAAAAGCACTTTTCTAACAACTTCTGTCTTTAGACTGTATCACAGAAAGGTTGCTAAAATTTAATTTCTGATTTGTGAATTGTGATTACTGATTGTTGTGAACTCCGTTGAACTAAACCTTTTTCTTTTTGAGTACCATTGGTATTTAGATTTTGTTTAATCTTTCACAGTATAATAGTTATCCCTATATTTATTTATATTAGTAAGTCAAACTGATTGTCAAGGGAAAACGGGAAGCTCATAGGCATCAATGCCGGTATCTCGCATGTTGCCATGTAAGCTTAATGTGACACTCTAAATTTTTAAAAATATCAAGATAGATGAAGTGATTTATAGAAATCACGCTAAAAATTACTCATCACACAAAATGTTTGAACAGAATAATAAATAGCCTTTAACGTCAGTTACACTACATGAAGCTTAAATGGCAACATACCGGATACTGGTAGTGCAACAGCATCTGAATTTATTCATTCTATCATGGTAGCCCACCAGAAATGTGTGTATAATATTCGTGAATGCACCAATTTGTAAGGAATTTAACAGATAATTTAATGATCATGGCTTCTTTACGGACTTCTTAAAAACAGTAATCATCTCATAAGATGTAGCAGTGGATAGGTTAGGTCATTTATGCTCAGTTTAAATAATTTCTGACATAAACAGCCGAATATGTTTCTGATTTTGCTTATGTGAAGTATTGTTCTGACAGGTTAGGTTTCGGAAACTGGTTTCACTAAGGTCATCATTTTTACTAGTACGTTTACCATGTAATTGACAATGTTGTCAATCTATAGAAATCTGTACAGTAACTTGCGATACCAGTTCATTAAAATATTCGAGAACTTCCTCCACAAGAAATGGCAATATTGTGGTGAACGTATATTGACACTAGTGCTAAAGATAACATGTGACAGAGGAACTCCAGCAAATGACATGTTGAAGCCTGAACGCGTATAGTTTATTGATGTTTTAGATATTCCTGTTTTTCCAAATAACCTGTGCAGAATATCTGACTGCCCGAAAAAAAACATTCCAAAAATAATAATAGACATTAATTGAACATGTAGTGTTCAACTTAGGACTTGGATTATTGCTCACTTGTTTTGGTTAGTGGTGAAAAATGCACCAAAATTTATCACAAGGTGTCAGCTAGAATATTATTCCATCAGTCATCATAAATATTCATTCTTGTCTCATTTATCAGGTAATTGTCAAAATTGTCATCTGTCTTCAAAACAGAATAAATGTCACATTGCAGACCTTCCTATCCATTTACTTCCTAGAATTTGATAAAAAAGTGTAAGTCGTTACATGTATATTTTTACATAATGATCAGTTCAGTATTATTATACAAGAATATTCATAATCGCATACAACGAGAGACTGAAAGCACTCAGGTTATTCTTGATGAGCTGTAGTAACAGAACAAATGCTTTTTTTCCGAGTTTTGAAATTGGATTTCTTTGTGCTTATCCGATAGCTTTTTTCTTCATATGTTGATTGTAAAAATCCGGTTTTTCAAATGTTTTATCAAATACCGAAATCCTACTTTAAGGTTTAATTCACGATCACGAATACACGAAATGGATAAGTTATATCTGTTGAACGTTTGACTCCGTTTAATGTTGACGAAATAATGATGATACTTTCGTATTTGTTAATAGATGGACTGTTTTCATCTGATTCATGTAGCGCAGTTGCTATTGGCGTATCCAATTCCCTGTGTAGAATATAACAAATGTGTTGAGTTTTATACCTTTAGATGAATGTTGGGCTTCTAGTTGCTTTTTTGCCAAACGTTTGTCATGACGACAACACTGTCTCTACCGTTACAGTATGTACAAGCGCCAACATAAAAGAACGAGTTTGTCGTTAAATATAATCGATATTATTTTGTAGAAGTAGCTGTTGCATCTTATTATACTTGAGCTCAGCAGTGAGCGCACACAACCTCACCAAGCATCCAACCCATCACCTTCAACTTTCTTGACACGCATGTCATCGTTGAAACACTGAGTATCAATCCAATATTCAACGGCTTTCTACTTCTATCAATCCACGATATAGCATGACCTTCATCCAAAGCAACCGTTGAGTATTTGTTTTCGCTTAGTCTTCACTTCGTGATGACTTCCCATTAAAACTTCGTCATATTTTATCTGAAATCATATGAATAATGAGCATTGGACTGTAATTCGCTGTGGAGGTTTGTGTGGATTGACTGATTTCACAATAGTATTCATCACTGACTTACTTGTTTGGAGAATCGTTGGAAATCCGGAAGCAATGAACATCTTTTCAGTTGCATTATGGGACAGACAGAAAGTGTGCATTCATCCATCCATCGAACCTGGGACC